TTGGGCATTCGGGCTTAGGACTTCATCTATATTAGACGAATTAAATGATGGATTAGTTGCATCCATCATAATTGTGTGATATGAATTGGCTGAAGGTTTATCAAATATTTGTTCATGTTGAACAAAATTTAGCGAATTATTAAAATAATTAACCGAATCATTTTCTCCAAAACGTCTCTACACATAATACCCAAGTACAAAATCATATCTTATTAAATGGTACCTAATTGTATTAGGATTTTTACAACTACAATTCTAACACTTTTTAAGTTTATAAAGACATCTTATTTTATTTTCGTCCATACACTTCGGATGGTTAACGATAAAATTAATAAATTAATTAATCCCATCTACAAAACGTTGATTTAAAAAACCATCGGTTCGTCTATAATCAATCCATGAACAATCCAAATTTATTTTAAACGAAATATAATTCATTTTATAAACAGACTAATTTACTTCAATTAAAAAATAAAAAACTTAATTAACAACTTAATTAATATTTTAATTAACTACCTAATTAATTATTTTAATCAACAATTTAATATTTTAATTAAAAACCAATTGACTTAATTTAACGATTAAAAACTAAATTAACAACCAAATTAATTAGATCGACACGTAATTTTATTTTTTACAAGTTTTTAATAATTTAATTATAAACTAATTTACTTAATTAAATACCTAATTAATTCTATTAAAAAATAATTTAATAATTTAATTACCAACTAATGGAATCAATTTAACAATTAAAAAACTAAATTAACAACCAAATTAATGAAACTAACACGTAATTTTATATTTTAAATTAAATTTTATTAATTTAATTATAAATTCTAATTTTTCTTATTTAACAACCTAATTGATTCTTTTAAAAAATATAATTATAAAGTAATTGACTTAATTAAAAACAACAAATAAATTAATTAACAAACAAATAAATTAAAGTAATTATATATTTTATATAATATTTAAATAATATTATTGTACAATAATTTTCTTAATTAACTACCTAATTAACTATTTTAAACAATATTTTAAAATTTTAATTAACAACTAATTAATGTACTTAATTTAAAAATAGTAAATTTACTTAACACCTATATATATAATTAAACTAACAAAAAATTAATTTCTTAAAACTATTAAATAATTTATTTTACCATATATTTAATTAATGTTATTAACAAGTAAATTATTTATTTAAAAATTATTTTAAACTAACACCTATTAAATTATTTAAATACCAACAATTATACTTAATTTAATTACCTTCTAAATGAAAATTATTTAACACATAATTTATTAAACTAACAATTAAATAATTATTTTAAGAAAAAAATAAATTAATTAGCAAATAAAAAATACTTATAATACTAAAATAAATTAAACTAACTAACAATTATTCAAAAAAATAAATTAGTAAACAACAAAAATTAGCAATTCAATTTTTTAAATACCAAAAAATAAACTTAATTTAATTAACAACTAAATCAAAATTATTTAACAAATAATTTCTTAAGCTAACACTTAAATAATTATTTTTAAAAAAATTAAATTGATTAACAAATAAAAAATATTATAATAATAAAATAAATTAAACTAACTAACAATTAACTAATAAATAATTAAGCAACAAAAATTAACAATTCATTTTTTAAATACCAATAAATAAAGTTAATTTAATTAACAACTAAATCAAAATTATTTAACACATAATTTATTAAACTAACACTTAAATAATTATCGTAACAAAAAAATAAATTAATTAACAAATAACAAATACATATAACTAACTAACAATTAACCAATAAATAATTAACAACAAGAATTAACAATTAACAACAACAATTAATCTAACTAACAATTAACCAATAAATAATTAACACCAACAACAATTAACAATTAACAACAACAATTAATCAAAATTAAACTATTGAAATGAATGAAAAAAAAAACTTAATGGGTTACCAATTACAAAATTAGAGTAGAGAAAGAGGAGCTACCGTCAAGAAGGAGGAGAGCTGCTTGTTGTGGCAATCGTTCACGGAGAAGAGGAGTGAAGGGAGGAGGAGGAAAGGAGAGAAAGAAGAAGAAAAGGAAGGAAGGAAAAAAAAGAAGAGAAAGGAGGAGATTTAGAGGGAGTTGCCAAGATTGGAGGAGAAATTAAGAAGAAAATGGAGGAGGTGCACCTGTTGGAAGAAGAAGAAGAAGAAGAGAAAGAAAGAAAAATTTGCGGGGCAATGGCTTATAGCGATTAAGATTTTTAGCGACGGAAAAAAACCCATTGTTAGTAACCTAAAAACATGCAAAATGATCATTTTCCCTCAAACGGCCATAAATTAGCAACAATTTTCTTAAACCGTCTCTAATTTTGATAGCGACGATGTTCATCAAAAAACCATCACAAATACCCTTTCCACAACTCGGTTTCGGAGTTAATTATATTTAGCAACGATTTTTATAAATCGTCACTAAATTTCTTCGTTTAAAAGGGATTATAGCATTGGTTTTGTGTAAACCATCACTAAAAACTAAATTTTATTTTGGAATTAGCAACAATTTAATTAAATAGTCACTAATTCCAAATAAATTACATTATTTAGTGATCTGTTTTACATAAAGTGTCGCTAATATCAATCATAAGTAACCGAAATTAGCGATGGTTTTGCAAACGGTTGCTAAAACCCATTTCTAAAAAGGTATTAGAGATGGTTTTGTAAAAAATGTCGCTATTTAATGGTTTTAACGACGGTTTATAAACCGTCATTAAAAAACTATTACTAATCCTAATTTTTCCGAGTAGTGGATCCTTCCTTGAAGTTATTAAGAATCAAACTTTATTTTATCAAACTATTTGAATATATACCCATTACATTAAACATATTTGTGTTTTGGATACTCTATATTGTTTGTTGGTATCTCAGTTTGTAGTACTTTTACTATAATAATCAAACATATGGCAGCACGGTAGCAACTTTATGTCTTATGGTCTTGTTCGCAAAGGTATTTTTGAGTTGTAGTTTCCATATAGATGCAATAAATTTCTTTTAATTGTTAATGTGTTGTAGGTGAAATATATCTATTTGGAAATTTGAGGTATAACTTTTATAGATCCCATTTTAGTGCTTAAAATATAACTAATAAAGCACCAATGAAAAATATTATAAAAATACTTGTAAATTACATAATAATGATGTTGTATGATTACAAATAAAGAAGTTTTTAAAATTAAATTTATATTAATTAATTTTTCTGTAAAATATTTTATATCAAACAAATATAAGAATATTATAAAAATATTTTTCGTAAAAAAAACACTACTAAAAAAAATTAGAAAGTATAATTTATTATTAGTGCGTTTTGGTTTTACGATTTGACACTAAAATGATAGTGAATTAAACTGCAGCAAAATGCAATACGCTTATGTACAAGTAGAATCCACAACCGATCAATTAGGCTACCACTATCCAAGACAAGGTCAAAGAGCATGCACAGAGAATTTCTTTTCTAGCATTTGGTCTTGAGTATAAAGAAAAAATTAACTCAATTTGGAAAGAGAGACTGAAAATAGCTAAATAATAGGTTGTTGTCTTGGAAGAAGTAATGAGTGAGAATACTCATATATAAATCATAAAATTTGATTTTATCAAATCATGCTTCATAGCAACATGATGTTTCCAATTAGAATTGAAAATTCTTTATATAGATTTCGTAGACACATAGCATACAACCTCAAATACAAAAAATATTATATTATATTCACATCTAAGCTACATCAGTTATTGATATCCCCAAACATAACGTTTTACAAAAACAAATAAACATGCTATAAGCTTGATGTTTAAGCAACATAGCTTAAAAAGGATGTTGAAATTAATACATTACTTATATTTGGAAACTTCATAGATGTAATGAAAAAAAGAAGGAACTATATAGATATAAGTGATCTAAATAGCACAATCCGATTTAGAGCCTTTGCATAATGCTAAAAGGCAAAAACAATAATAAAATTTCATTCAAAAATCTAATAAGCCACGATGTCAATTAGTAATATTAAGCATTTCATTCAAAAATCTAGTAAGCCATGATGTCAATTAACAATATTATTGCTTAAAAGAGTTACAATGCATAAATTGTTGCATTTAATTAACAATTCCTTGTATTTTATATTAAAAAAAAATCCTTTTTTTCTTAAAGAAAAAATTGATTTGTTTCTTTTATACATGGATTCAAAAATAAAAATTTATAATAATTTAAATAGTAAATTTCAATCAAGGAAATAAATAGAATTGAAAAACAAATTTAAATTTTAGCATTCTCTTCTCTCTCCTTGCAATAACAATGCAAAAAAAGATAGCCTCAAAGAAAGGATGAAGATTACATCTCTTACAACCAATAATTACATATATGCAAAAACTTCAAACCTTATATGAAACAGTCATAAACATCCAAGAAACTAAACATATTTTTCCCCCTAAATTCTCAAGGGAAGTTAGAACATTTATTTGATTTATTCTACTTTGATCAATATTATTTATCCATATGACATAACTAAATATCCACCAGTTAGCTGTCATCAAATTTCCAAAAGATAGCCAATTTCACATGCCCATATGATCTAATTTGAAGTTCCAATTTTCACATCAAACAAGCAATACAAATAGATTAAAATTGCAAGGTGTTAGTCGTCAAAGTGAGAGACCTGAGGACAACATACACTGCCTCCAACACTAAGCACATCAGCTATTAGATACCCTTCAAAACAAGCATTTTCAAACAAAAACCGAAAGTTGTAAGGGTGCTGACCTGCTTACAATAACATAATCGGCCAATTATGACCCTAATATGACTAGTGGATTCTAAGGAAACATAGACAATGGTCAACGGCATCTACCTTCCCTATAGTCTAAAATATCATGCACCGCAAAATTTCTGTGTACGCAAATTTCTGAAAGCTGCCACATTTCAAGTGGTGTGATGAGGGTGGTGACTGATTTCTACTTCCTATTACTGCGCCCTTTACACCTATACAACACGAATGTAATGGCTGTCAAAGACCAACGATGTAATTGCATATCAAGGTGGTTACAATCAGAAATGCTCTTGTACTGTGACACTCTCACCAAGGTCGTCCCTTTGCTCCAAGCCGACGAGCCAGCTCCAAATCCTTTTTCACTGAAGCAAGAAAGCAAATAGAACAAGTTTCTTTACTGAATAGCACATATAAAATTCTGAAGCAAGATTGAATGAATTTGAATTGGACAAAGGCATGCTGCTATGGGATCATCAACAGTAAGATCTATAATATTGGTGAATCCAAATGATTGTGCACAAGGTGAAGATTGCAGCAACGCACTTCAGAATATCCCAACTGTTATCTATTAATATGTACTTTTGAATGCCAGAAGAAAAGATGCATCAGCGGCAGAGGCAAAGGAAAACAAAAGGCATTGTTATCTGAGTAAAACAGCCAATATTTATGCCAAAGAACTTCTAAAAATGAATTTAGAATAGAAGCTGAGAAACATTACCATCGAGATCAAGGTTAAGTAGGTTCGCAACAATTAGTATAGTCTATGGTTTGTTAATGTTAGTTTTAGTTCCCTTGTTTTTGTGTTTCATCTTGACTGACTTCTTCAAACTCACGAATCAATCTAGATAATTTCAAGGGTGCTCACGTAATCCTAAAAAATTAGTCTCTGAAATATCAATAATCTGCAAAGCATACTAGCAGTTATACAACAGAGAAGCAGCATAAGATTTGGTGTACATCTACACTGAAGATTCTAAGACAACTGAAGTATACTTTATCAAAATTATCAATATAACTAAAGGAAAATCATTATTTACTATTCACTCACTCGTATCATTATTCACACACTCATAAATTATTATTTCTTTCACTATTTATACCATTTTGTAACACTTTGGTCCTCAAATTTTTTATACTTTTTTTTCAATTTCAAACTTTAATTGTATTATGATTTGATCCCATTTTAATTTATAGTTTTTTATTAATCTTTTTTATTATTTAAAATTTACTAATTTAATTTGTCATTTTTTTTAAATTCTCTTCATTTTTTTCCAATTCCAAACTTTAATTTGTTAATTATTTTTATTATTTAAAATTTACTACTTTAATTTGTCATTTTTTTTAAATTCTCTCTTTTTTTTTTTCAATTGCAAACTTAATTATATTATAATTTGGTCTCATTTTCTTTTAGTGTTTTTCGTTAATTATTTTTATTATTTAAAATTTACTACTTTAATTTATTATTTTTTTAAATTCTCATCCAATTAATTTAAAATTATATTTACTTGACAGTTTTGATTTATTTTTCTATATATATGGATTTTGGAATAAATTTTTAGAACATGATTATTTTTTCTTTTAAAAAAATAGGTTTAGATAATTTTTAAATTATAATGATATGATTAATATATATAATTTTTCTGAAATACATTTTTTGATTAAAAGTGCATTTCAAATAATTTTTTCTCGATTTTTTATATTATTTAAAATTTACTACATTAATTTGTCATTTTTTAAATTCTCTTTTTTTTTTTCAGTTTCAAACTTTGATTATATTGTGATTTGATCCCATTTTGTTTTTAGCGTTTTTCGTTAATTATTTTTATTATTTAAAATTTACTACTTTAATTCGTTATTTTTTTAAATTCTCATCCAATTAATTTAAAATTATATTTATTGATAGTTTTGATTTATTTTTCTATATGTATGGATTTTGGAATAAACTTTTAGAACATGATTATTTTTTCTTTTGAAAAATATATTCAAATAACTTTTAAATTATAGTGACATGATTAATATATATAATTTATCTAAAATATATTTTTAGATAAAAAGTATTTCAAATAATTGTTTTTGGATTTTTTTAGAAAAAAAACTCAAATTAATTAATTAATAGTTGAAACTCAAATGTTAAAAATAAAAAGATGGTTACTCTATACGTGAAGCCTATATTCAAGGACTAGCTATGCATAACATAGAAATCAAAAAATATTTAAGGAGAAAAAAAGAAAGAAAAAGAATTCACATGTTTTATTAATTTGTTTTTTCTTTATATAATCAAAATTAATCAAAATCAAATTTGTACAAATTTGTATTTTAATCTATTAAGTTCAAATTTAGTCAATAGATTGCTTGTAAGTTAAATTTTTTATATATATAATATTTTGTGTTTTAAATTGAAAATTATGAACTCACTTAGTATAGTTACGATGTATAAAAAAATATTAAATCATTGTTTTTTTTTTAAATTAACTATGCAACTACTACTATACTAAATATTTACTAATTATTTATTGATTTTTGAATATTTTAAAATTAATTTATTTTAAATTAAATAATTAAATTATGTTTTGGCTTAACCACTCAATGATTCAAATTAATATAATTTTTTATTTTAATATTATTCATTCTTTTGTAAATAAATATATAAAAATTAAATTCAAATTTTTTTAAAAACTGATATTCTCATCAATATTAAATAAAAAATAATAATTTGTTCAATTCTATATAAGCTTTTAATAATTGTTATTTATGTTTTTCGACACAATCTTATGAAATACTAAAAGTTTTTTTAAAAAAAATTTATTTAATTTTCTCGTTTAGTTGATAATCTATGGATTAACAAGGATAAATCTTTTTTCTAAAGGAAAAATTATGAAAAAATACAAATAAGAAATAATTAAATATAAAATTTTTTATTAAATAATTTTTTTACTTTTTATTTGATATATTTTTATAGATTTACACCATAAAACATACTATCAAACTAAAATAATTTTTTTAAAATGATTTTATATAATTTATCCAACCCCTAACGTAATGTGAGCGAAAAAACTAGTTCCATCTAAATAAATAAATAAAAGTGCAAAGTTTTCCAATAGAATTTGAAGGAAACACAAAAAGGTCATGATCATAATATATGTAGTTGTGTAAAATCTAACTTACTTGATTTGACCTGCTATGCACTAAACTGAAGATTATTAAGCGTGTATATAGCAGAAATCACTGAACTAGAGTTGATCAAAATTCTATTGTAATGTGAAAAATTAGCTCATGAAACTAAAGGAGAAAAAAGAAAAGGAAAAGCATGTAATTATAATAGTTGCATCAAGTCTCACTCACTTAATGTAACGCGTTTTCCATGAATTGCGCATAGCATCCCATCTTCAAACAAATGAACCAAAAAAATCCTCTCCTGCCTACACCAGTAACAAAACAATAACTGGCATGCAACAAGATTTAATAGCACAACTTCCCTAATCTTATGAAAAGTAGACCCAGAGCAGAGTAATTACTTGGTTTGGGGGCTCTGGTTCGTGATAGCAATGGAGTCTGGAGAAGTGGCTTTGGGGGGTCCGGTTCGGGCTTGGGATGTTTTCTTTTTAATGACTTAATAGGGATGGTTGTTCCACGTGTTTGTTCTCTTATTTTAAGTGTTTAGGGTCTTTGGTTCCCTTTTGTACCAAAACTACATGACTGTACTGAACAATACTATAGGTGATGATGACACTAAGACTTTTGAAGACAAGTACAGATTTTTGCTTGAGCATTGAAGTAATGAAGCATACTACTAGCATACAGTTCAAAAAAAATCACAATACCTCCTGAATTGCAACTAAAGCTTCAGCAGTCCAACGGTTAACTTCATGGGAAAGCTTCTGGGTAATCATTCGTACCTGTAAAATGATAAAGACCATTGCCACATCCAATTAAACCTCAATAACAAGATCATACGCACAAAAGGTAAAAGCATAATGTCCAATGGGCATTGTTACAAAAACTAATTGTAGAATCTCAATGTCGTCAATAAATAAGCAACAGGTGAATTCATGCACAGAGAGAGAGAGAGAGAGAAACAACAACTGAAGTTACTAAACCGTGAAAGTGGAATAAGTAACAGGTGAATTTAACAAATAAATTGTGAGGTTACAACAACACAAGAGAGTGGAGTGGTTTAAAAGGTTCCAACTATTGGTGTTCTTTACCAAAAAAAACCTTGTTTTTATCTAGAGTCACCATTGAATTTTGTGCGTATGAGCATTCAGATAGATCCAACTTCTATTTCTTCGGGAAAAAAAAAAAAAAAATCTAACTCCTTATAAACACAGCATCCAATTGTACCAATTTGCTTGTAGCTTAATGGTAATCTAGCAAAAGAAAGACAAGTGAGGTATCACGTTCAAGTCCCAACTTTGTCGATCCATTTAAAAAAAAAAACAATTTCGAGGCACAAAAAAGTACAAATTGTCAATGAAGAAAATTTTGGTTTTTCATCAGCAAAAAGATGTAGCAAATCATAAATAGAGCATTTAATTGTAAAAAAAAGGTTTCAATGAGGAACAATAATATGGGAATAACACGAAGAAATTTGGGGACACAGCAAGAGGAGAAAAACCAATGGTTTGTGGGAAGGTCGCAAATAGAAACACAACTTCAGATCCAAACAATAAGATGAATCAAATGTCAGATTAAGCTGTGACAGCAAGAAACATTAATATGCACCGCCAACATAAAGAAACTTCATGAGAACAATGCAAATGAAAAGGGTAAAAAACCGTGAGATTTGTATGATTAATTTGTCAACTTTCCTGAATTGAGCAATATCACGCATTGTATAAATCATATAATTCTACTGCATGCTATTCAAGTCAATCTTGACTAGATCATCACGGTAATGATTGTGACCTATATTGCTATGGGAACCAACATCATATCTAGCCAATGGTCATATAAACTTATTTACATGTTTTAATATATGTACGTATGCAAACATTTTACATGAACATATATGCAAAGAAACCCACTCGCATGAAGTGTTTGATTGTTTAACACATTTTTAGACAATCTGAGTCTTACCAAACCGGACTTTGGATATAATACTGCTCTTCATGGAGATCATGCACATAAAACTAGCAAGTCAATCAAATATTTATAAACATCCCATTCATTCTAGGATTACCAAATTAATTCCCGAATTCAAAAAGTTATCAAGATGACAAATGCAAAGATACCCAATTAATTTGAATTTTACAAGCAAGAAATAGAACAATGAAACATGACATCCAATGATTGGTTTAACAAAATAAACTATAAAAGAAGTTACAACAGAGAGTGCTCGCGCATCGAATGAAGCTAGCAGCTGGTATGAGTGACTTCCATGTCTTCTGGTACTTCCGAATTTCCCGGAGAGATACTGTCCCTGGATGGAAGCGGTGCTTTTTCCTCTGCGTTTGTGTGGATGAACCTTTTACAAATATTAACAACTAAAGCAAAAGCATCCCAGAAAAAATCACATGTCAATACAATCGAGTTGAACAACTCAATCTAAAACAAGAACCAAATTTCACCCAATAAAAGAAAATAAAATAAAATAACTCACCTTGTTGGGTATTTGCTGTTGATCTTGTCCTCTGCAAGAAAAAAAAAAATATGAGATCATTAAACAACGAAAGGAAGGCACTAGAACATTTGAAATTTAAGGCAAGAGAAAAACAAGACATGTATACCTATTTTGGGTTTTTTCACTTTTTAAGTTCCTTTTCTTCATGTCTTACCCACTTTTAACTTTACCAAGGAAATTAAAATAGTAGCAGAAAATAACAATTAGAAAACAAAGGTTCAGTTCAATAGCCATGAAAACATTTAAAACATTCACTTTTTTATATATATATAATTATTCCAACGTTTCTCCTTCCTAGGGTTTTCCATAACTAATTACCTCCAGCTTATGCAAACTTATTTTTCTAATTTTTTCTTTCAAATTTATACAAAACATAAAACAGGAGTTCAAAACAAATAATTAGTAGTCACTTTCCTCTCCTGCATTTTCTCATCAGCCAAACAGGCAACAGAAAAAATCAAAAGAAACAACAAAACAGAGAGAGAGAGAGAGAGAGAGAGAGAGGTACCAATGATTTTGGCGCTCTAGGTGTAGATGGTGCAGCTTCTGTAATTTCACGAAGGAAAACATAACAAGTTAAGGTTTATAACAAAAAAAGCAAAAAATAGAAACCCTAACCATTTACATATAAGTATGAAAACAACAAATGCGTGTTTTATACCAAACAAAAAAAGAAAACCATAAATTTATGCATTTCTGCCTTTTCGTGTGTGTTGATAAAATTATATGCAAAGAGAGACATCTGACCGGATTGCCTTTGGCTTCTGCTTCGTTTTCGAGTAGCCTGAGTTTTCGTTCTGGCCATCGATGGAGTGTACGTGAAAGGGAAATCTTGTCTTTTTTTTCTTTTAGCTGTAGCCGATAAGTGAGGATTATTCAGCTTTTTGAAGCGTGCGAATTTTTGGTTTTTCTTTCTCTCTCGTGTTTTGCCGCTCTCTTGGAATTTTTGAAACGCAGTGTCCTGTGTCTGACACGGGAGTTGGTAAACGCAGTGTTCTGTTTGGACAGGTTTATTAGTTTTTGAAATTCGCCGGTTACTGCAGACTGAGATTGTACCCGTTACAGCACAAGGACAAAACAGAACGAAGTTGCTTAATGGTCAACAGAAAAGTAATTGACTAATGCTAATTTTATCCAATATTTTGTAATAATGGTCATTACAATGATTGAATTTTTTGGACAAATATTCGGGAAATTTCTTTTTGTTACTCAAAGTAATTACTACAAGTTTAATTCCACAATAAAAAAACCTAGTCTATTGAGTAGTTTTTTTAAGTTCATTGACTCTGATCTCCACCGCATTCAATATCGCATCCTCAATTTTTATATAAGAAAGAAAAACATAGAATTGGTGACTAAGGAGAGGAAAAGACTAAGGAGTAAGTGTTTTTCATTGTTCCCATTCTACTGGCACAAATTCCATTCACCATTAACTGTCACCCTTAATAGCGTGAAGCAAAGGTTGATGACAGTGCATGAGTAGTCAGTCAGTCACTGATGCATAAGAGTTGATTGACGTTTATGTACCCCATCATCAACATGTCTCGCAAAAGTCTGACAGTAGTAGCATACACCTATAAATACATAATACAGTAATTAAGTACACTAGTAGCAGAATTCTCACGCATTTTCTGCTTTTTCTGCATTTCAAATGGGCAATGCCCATTAAAGGAACTTAATTATATATATATATATTTGCCATACTCTAAAATTAATCTTGAAATTCTCATATTGCGATTGTTTCATAGGTTTGGCGGTGTCCAACAGTATGGTAAACATAATTTTTTGTTTTTTATTTTTAGCGAATTCAACCGTTTCCTTTTATTTTCAAATTGCAAGACCTTCTAGTTCATTATATATAAATAAATGATTTGAAAGTCTAAATCCCATACCACATCTACCTATATAGCCGGTTCTTTCTTGGCTTCCATCTTGTTAACATCATTGTGAAAAATCTCGGAAGCCTCCGCAGAGTACCTAATCTTTAATTAAATTAACTTTTAGCAATTCCACGTGCATGTTTTATATACGCCATGACTTTCAGATTATAACTCCATCCAACTTATAAATGTTAAGAATTTTTCTAAAATCATTTTGTGTCAATTAATTGAGAAATTTTTTTAAAATACACTTTACATATCTGTCTAATCTCTTAATTTATATATATATATACTGGTACCAAAATCTAAACTCAAAAAATTAATAAATGAGACCACCTTCTTCTAAGTATCATACCCATATGTTGGAGTTATAGACGTCTATGTATTGAGAAATAGAGTTACAATAGTACTAATTAAATCCTAGCTTCTTTTTTTTTTTTTTTTTTTTTTGTCATCTGATAACAGTGGTCCTATTTTATCGTACTTAGCTAATTTTGTTTTTGTTTTGGTGCAGAAGAGATACAAAAACTTAGGGGCATCATATCAAACTTGGCGTTTATTTATCATCCACCAGTCAACACTCAAGACGTAGTGCAATTAACATCGTTAAGCCCTTCAAAAGAGTCGTATATAGGGCAAAATTGTTGCTAACTTGCATTGCAAGTGACAAAATTTAACCAATTATTTGGACATAGGCTATCTGCCACTTTGTTAATTAGTTTGTCACCATCATGCACTACAAAAAAAAAAAAAAAAAAAGAAGAGGATTTGTGATTGTTTTTTAACAACAATTTCAAAAAACTTCACTAAAGCCAAAAAAACTCATGACTATTTGAGTAGACTTTCGTTAATTTTGTTACATTTTGAATATTTAGCGACGGTTTCCAAAATCGTCTCTAAAAATACGTAAATTCGTGATAATTTTGTGAAACCCTCGCAAAATTGGTCGCTTTAGCAATGATCTTGAACGGATCGTTGTTAAAAGATATATATTTAGTGATAGTCGAAAAGACTATCACTAATCGAACTATTTTGTGTTCTTCGGCGATGCTTTCTCAAAACTATTGCTAAATAATCATTTTGAGTGAAATTAGCCACGGTTTTAATAGACCGTCGCTAAATAACCCTTAAAAACGCTCACGGATACTTTGGGAGTATTTAGCAATGTTCTACAAAAACCGTCACTAAAAGGAGAAATTAGCAACGCTTTTTCGATCGCTCGCTAAATACCTTAAAAAATGCTAAAGGATACTTTGGGGGTATTTACCAACGATCTACTAAATAACGTCGCTAAAAGGTGACATTATCAACGGTTTTGCGAGACCATCTCTAAATTCCTAATGGATACTTTTAAAATATCTATGGGTTTTAGCGACGACTTAGCAAAAACTATTGCTAAAGTCACTTAAAATCATCACTAAAATTAGGGTATCGTCACTAATTTTTATTATTTTTGGGTGACCTTAGAGACGATTTGATCAAAACATCGCTAAAAGGCAATCCGGGAGGGAAAAATGAAAATTTTTAATAACAAAAAGGATTAGCAACGGTTTAGTGATAATTAAAAATCGACTCCAAATACTAAATTCCTAAATCGATGACGGACATCCTTTTTTCCTCATTTCCTCACTTTTTTCTTCTTTTTTTCTCTCTTCTTGTTCTTCTTTGCCAATGTCTCCTCCTCCAAATCCTCAATTAATGTCATTAATCCCTCCAAACTCTCATTCTCTCTTCTTTTCTTCTTTTTCCCCTCCATCCCTTCCCCTTTCCTCCTCCATTTTCTTCTTCTTTCTCTCCTTGCCTTCTCCTTCTCTCTTCCTTCCTCTTCTCCGTGAGTTGGCACCAGACTTCTCCCTCCTCTCCTCCTTCATTTGTGGGTAGCAATTCCTCCATTCTCTCCTTCCAATTTGATAATTAGGAGTTCAACACTTTTGTTGATTTTTTTTCCTTTTGATTTCAAAATTTTTATATGTTGTTTTATAGTTAATTTTTTGTTAATTATTAGTTAGTTTAATTTATTTTCTTTTTAGTGTTAATTTTTTAGTTGTTAATTAAATTAATTATTTGTTAAAAAAATTAATTAGTTGTAAAAACTGAAATTATTTAAATTTTAAAAAACTTTAATTAGGTTTTAGTTTAATTAATTAGTTGTTAATAAATTTATTTTAAATGTTAAATTAAGTTAATTAGTTGTTAATTAAAGTATTTAAGAATTTAAAAAATTTAATTAGGTGTTATTTTAATTAATTAGTTATTAATTAAGTTATTTAGTTGTTAAATTAAGTTAATTAGTTATTAATTAAATTGTTTAAAAAATTTAATTAGGTGTTAGTTTAATTAATTAGTTGTTAACTAAGTTATTTAGTTGTTAAAAAAATTTAATTAGTTGTGAATTAAATTAATAAATGTTTTAAAATATTCAATAAGGTGTTAAGTTTAATTAATTAGTGGTTAATTAAGTTTTTTACTTGTTAAAATAAGTTAATTAGTTGTTAATTAATTTATTAAATATTTAAAAAAATTAATTAGATGTTAATTTAATTAATTAGTTGTTAATTAAGTTATTTAGTTGTTAAATTAGGTTAATTAGTTTTTAATTAAGTTATCAAATTGTTTTAAAAAATTAATTTTGTATTAGTTTAATTAATTAGTTTTTAATTAACTTATTTAGTTGTTAAAAAAAATAATTAGTTGTTAATTAAATTAATAAAAGTTTAAAAATATTTAATAAGGTGTGAAGTTTAATTTTGGTAATCGGGAATAGAGTGGTGGGAATGAGAATGAAAGTTTTATTCTCACATTGTAAGTTGTTTGGTTAAAAGGAATAAAGTGAGAACGAGAATGAAGAGTGAAAATGAGAAAAAAATTTACACACAACTTCATTTTCATATAATATGTGAGAATAAAAACAAGGAATGAGAATGAATATTTTTCAAAATAATAATTTATTTTATTTATTATATATTAACTATTTTTACCACAATCGCAACCACAACCACCATCATTACAACAACCACCACTCGTAACCATCATAACCACCACCATCATCACCACCACACCACTACTACCACCACCACCATCATCACCGCCATCACAATCATCACCACTACTACCATCATCACAACCACCACCGCCACTAGAATCACCACCGTCATAACTACAATCATCATCATAACCTTTATTATTTTTACAACCATTATAGTTTAATAAAATTATTTTTTTAATTATTATTTTTATTTGTATAAAAAATCACATATTAAAAAATTTAAATTGCATTCCGATTCTTCATTAGTATTCCAAACATAGTATGAAAATATAAATACCATTCGATTCCTTAATTTTCATTCCAATTTACGCATTCTCATTCCCATCACTCTATTTCGATTATCAAATAGCACCTAAGTTTAATTAATTAGTTGTTACTTAAGTTTTGTAGTTGTTAAAATAAGTTAATTAGTTATTAATTAAAAATTTAATTAGAAGTTAATTTAACTAATTAGTTGTTAACTAATTTATTTAGTTGTTAAATTAAGTTGATTGATTGTTAATTAAATTATTAAATTGTTTAAAAAATTTAATTATGTGCTAGTTTAATTAATTAGTTATTAATTAAAATTTTAAATAATATTTAATAAGGAGTTAAGTTTAATTAATTTGTTGTTACTTAAGTTTTTTAGTTATTAAAATAAGTGAATTAGTTGTTAATTAAATTAATTAAATTTTTAAAATTTTTAATTAGATATTAATTTAATTAATTAGTTGTTAATTAAGTTATTTAGCGGTTAAAAAATTTAATTAGTCGTTAATTAAATTAATAAAATTTTAAAATATTTAATAAGGTGCCAAGTTTAATTAATTTGTTGTTACTTAAGTTTTTTAGTTATTAAAATAAGTTAATTAGTTGTTAATTAAATTAATTAAATAT